CAGGAGAGAGCTGGAGAGCATGGAACTGCTGAATTCTTAGCAGTCTGCAAACACAGTGTAGTGCAAATGCTTGTTGGGAAGTGGTGAACTCTTCAGCTCAGCCAGTGCCCTCCCAGTATTGCTGCGGCTGCTGAGATGTGCAGGCAGGGTGTTTCTGTCCAACTTCATGCTTTCAGCTTGGACCTTTTGAGTTTTATAAGCGGGAAAGGCTGCGACATTGATCTTAATTAAAGGGAGATGATGATTTATTCGGCAGGGCTGACTGGTGTGCTTGTACGCGCAATGCCTTTCCCAGTGGGCTTTGGTATAAACCATAGGATCGCAGGGAGCTGCTGGAGTAAAACTGCAGGAAAATGAGTAACGTATTGATTTGATACCTGGGGAGGAATTGGGCAAAGTAGCAGTGGATATTTGCAATGCGGCGTGCTTCTCCCTCTAAGCACCTGCTGTTCCACCGGCGCAGCGAGTTTTCTGTTAGTGGCAACACAGACAAGGCAGTAGTTAAAGCTGTCACTGTTTCCAGAATCCAATTTTTCAAGAGGTTTATAGTTCTGCCGTTATAAGGAAAAAAAAAGGAAAATTTACTGAAATTGGCTAAACAGCCTTTCCATCTGGAAAAGACATGAAATACATGTACTTCTGAGCTGTCGGTAAAACTGTACAGGTGCCTTAAACCAAGTGCATAATACTGTTCGGTGGCAGGTGGAGAGAGGCCTTTGTGGCTTTTTTAGTCCAATTATTTCTTTTTGGCAGTGAGTTCATAGACTGGAATATCCTTAATTGAGTCCAGTTTTCTAAACCAAAGAAGCAACCTGTAGTTTTACCTTTTCCCTCTATATTCAGCCTTAGTTTCAATAAAGTTTCAGTCTTCTGTAACTTAAGACATAAATAAAACTTGAAGACCCTTGATAGTTACAGAACATTGAGGTGAAGGGAAAAGTTTTTTTGAAAAATACTTGGGGTTCAAGAGGTCTGCTGTGAAGTCAATGTTAGATTAATCCCTGCTGTACAGCCTCTGATTGCGATGAGTTTTGAGCAGGAATTTGCACGTCTGCGTCGCCTCACTTAGCACAACTATATTTGTCTGCTTTGATTGGTAACGCTGTGTATTTATCTCAGAAAATGCACAAATGATTCACATACATCAGCCTGAAGTAGGAAGGCTGAGCTCTGGACATCTGGATTTAGAAGAATGCCAGTTCGTTGGTCGAATTAAAGGATCAAGGACATTTATGCTGAAGGTAGGGGCTGAGTTGCAAATGTGCTTTTTCCCTTCTCACAGTTCGACCATCTGGTCAGCAGGGCTGGGTGGGGGGAATCCTGCCTGCGGAGTGGGACAACTTGTTTGCTCTAAGCCCGTGTGGCCCGTTGTGCTTTTATATTTTATGTTATAGGTGTATCTTCCAGTAGCTTTAAATTCCTGAACGTGTCCTGGGGTTGTTTTGAGGGTGACCCCTGTTTCAGCTCAGCTTCTTCCCTCTACCTCGTGCCTCCCAAAACTCCCTCCCCCCTTTCCACATGTAAGAACTTCTGGCATTTGTGAAGTATGCTTGGTAGGTGCAGGTTTTGTTTCTGTGCCTCAGTGACTGTGGTGTTTGCAAATAGCTGAGTTTGTAATAAAGCGTAGCGCCTGGGGCTGCGTGTTCTGACTTGGGTTGGCGGAGTGCCTTGTTTTGAATGCTGCAATCTGTAATGCACGGATGCAGGAGGAGCAGCCTCTTACTTCTTCACATCCACCCTGGATACATTTTTCAGCTCAGCTGGGGTGAGACATGATCAAAATTCATTCTGTAATTAAGAAAATGTTGAACCTCTTGTGTGTGATAGGCAAATGAGCTAAAGCTTTTAGCCAAGCGATTGAGTGTTAAGGTTTTACTGTAAGGTGAATGTAAACTAGATAATTTCTCTAGCTAAGCTTCCCATAATCATTCCATTAGTATGAATTCAGTACAGTGCGGAAGGGAGGCAGCATAGCCTGATGGAGAAGATTATTATTATTATTATTATTGAAGATTATTGCAGTACAAATGAGCAGTAGAGGCCCCAGCCGAGGTTATGGTCATATTTGGATAGGAGTTTTACTTTATAGCAGGAGAAAAGACAGACTCCGCTCTGGAGCCATCATGATTTAAATAGACCTAAAGATGCAACAAAAAACTAATTTCTTTGAATAGGTATAGAACTGAGATGCAGAGAGATTAAATGTCATGCTTTCCCTGTGGCCAGTGGAAGCCAAACTGGGTCTTGTGGCAAAGGCAGTGGTGTGCGTGCGGTACGGTATGGCCGGTGGGAAACAGAAGCCCTGCTCCACTTGGGAAGGGTGGGTGGGGAGGGTTGTGGTTAGTGCCATGATGCAGGTGCTGGATTACTGGCAAATTCTGTTGTTATTTCCTTCATCTGGTCTGTGTTGGTGTGGGTTAGTTATTTCAGCTTCATGGCTCTCACTGTCTTCTGTGGGATATGAAAGTCCTCGACTGAGTTTGCAGCATAATCTGAGATCCAGTGACAAGAGTGCTCTCGAAGTCCTAATTTGCTGCTTCTCTTGTTAAAGTATGTTAAATTTACATAAGAATTTTTGTCTGATTATCTGACTAGGGAACAAACTTTTTTAAGGCGGTGGTGTCTTAACTAAAACCGTATTTCTTGATGTTGTTTTTATCTCATCTTTCCACTTAAGGATGCTTGCTGGGGGTGGTATTGGTCCAGCTTCAAGAAGTCATGTATATGGCTTTTTTGTTTTTCGTTTTTGGATTTTGCTGATCAAATCGATGTGACAGTTTATTTAAGGCAGCGTGTCTTAAGATTATGGAAGAAGGTCAAAGCAATTTCAAAAGCAGTTTGTATTTTGTTTCTCAGCATGGAAGCTGTTACTAATGTTTCTGGCTTTGTGTTTCTGTAGGTGTTCTTGCCGGTGCTCATGTACTCGTTGAAGGTGTCTCCACTCATAGAAAAAATAAGTGACCACAAGGATTTTAAGAAGCTTCTCAGGACACGGAATAACGTACTAGTGCTGTATTCCAAATCTGGTAAGTCTTCCTTTTTTTTTTTTTTTTTTTTGCTTGGAGATTTCTCAGTTGACTTTAATTATTCTCTCTCTCCCTTTCTCTCTCGGCTTGGGGGTGTGTGCGTTTGACCAGCTGAGTGCATGTTCGGTTGCCTGTGTACGTGCTCGGGTGACTGGGCTCTGCGCCCTTCCTTGCTCTCTGCTCAGCGTTGCCTTATGTGACTGCAAGGTGCTTCTGTGTGACTGCAAGGGCTTCTTCAGTATCAGTGTCCTTGCTCTAACTCAGAGGCTGCTGATGTTTCAAGATTGGGGGCTTCTTAGTTTGGTCTTCTAATTGCTCTGTCACATTGGCAAAAAATGTGCTTTATTCTGGCATTGCCTCTGTAACTGGTTGCTCGTAACAGCTATCAGGCAGAGCTTTCTGGTGTGTTTGTCACAGTAGTTTGCAAGTTTCGATTTCCTGGTGACACTGAAAGGCTTAAAGAATAGTTATAGTGCTGAAATCAATCCATCTTTGCTTCTGACAGCTTTGGGTGTCCCATGGTTGTCTTTCAACTTTAATTAACAAAATATAAAAATAAATTATGAGCTGCTTGTGTGAGAGGGAGAAGTGGCTCATTTCACATTGTGCCACCTGTCCCTTTGAATCCTTGCTGTCTCTGTCTCGTTCAGGCTCTCCTTTCTGGCTGTTCGCTCTTGCTCTTACCTGTCTGTTTGCTCTTCCTTTTGCTCTGTTCTGCTCCTGCTGCACCTTTTCTCCTTTGTCGCCTCCTTTGTTTTGGTGTGTTGGTTTGTGTGACACCATGTAAAATGAAGAAGCAGTCTTTAAGCTCCATATGCAAGTGCAGAATGCTGTTGTGGATGTGGAAGTCATTGGACAGCAAGAAGTGCGTCACTAAGATGATTTTCCTTAGTGCTGTTTTGTTTTTGTTGTTCTTTTTCCTTCCTGCAGGCAAGCAGTACAAGGTAATGCTTTGTTTGGGGCCTGGGTCCTCCCTTTCTGACCTGTTGCAAGGTCTTATCTCAATTAAACATATATGTGACTTAATTTTTGTTAAAATATTTGTGTTTTTCTATAGTGGGGAACTTTGAGCCCTCAAACTTGGCCAGATGGTTTTGTAGCAACAGGTTCAAAGTGAAAGTCATAAGAGTTTCTAACACTTTTTGATTTTAAAAGGAACACTTTAGATAAAAAAGACACCTGTATTATTCAGCTTTTTAAAGGGAAGATTCTCTTTTTATGCTTAATATTTTAAGTGGTGGTTGCTTTCATTTTTAGAAGCACAACGAGAACCCTTCAGCTCTGACACTCATCAAATAGATGTTGCCCTATGGGCATTGTTCAAAAGCTGTGTGGTGGAGATTTCTTTTTTCTGTTTTTGTTATTTAATTGGTTAGTTTTAGCAGTCTAAAGCATTGCATGCAGAGCTGACTGTGGGATTAATGTTTCCTCCTAGAACAGTGATCCTTGCACAATTAGAAATCTTTTGTGTAATTGTCACCCAGAAAGAGGGCAGGAGAAAAAAAGAGATAGGAATTTGGAGGTGCAGTACTAATCCCAGATATGCGTCCCCCAGCTGTGATGAGATGGTGGCCAGCCGATTGCTGGGACAAAGGCTTTGCTTCTCAGCTGAGCAAAACTAGCTGAGTATTTTTATCTCGTGCAGAAAATTCATTGGTTTCAGGAGGTGTCCTCATTTGTAGGAGATGTTTAGTTTACCCTACTGGCTGGGTGTCCTGCCAGGGCTGCTCAACTAGTGAGTCTTCTGGGACAAGTCTGTCCTATCCTGGATGCTTATTTTTTAAAGGATGTTTGCCAAGAATTCCCCCATGTGTCTACATCCCTGTGTTGGAGAGAGATGGCAGTATTGGGGGTAGGAATGTTGCTTGAGAGCTAACAAATGTGGGCTGGTGTCTCTGATGGCATCGGGCCCAAGCAAAGGCTGTCAAATACCAACAAGCCATTTCTGGCTCAGGAGAGTGTTGAGATAGAAAATTGTGGAGGCTTAGAGATTATTTGAGGGGACTATCACTACCTGCTGGCTCTGCTTGTCTCTTCTGATCTGTATAGGCCTTCGCTTTCTCAAATGTTGGAGACAAGGTACTGGTCTATAGAGGCATTCGGTCTGACCCAATATAGCCATTCTTATATTCAATTAGATGAAGTAGTTGTGGAGCAGGAGCAGTTTAAAAATATCTGGAAGAGGCACTGGGTTTCTATTTTCTGTTTATCAAGGCAGGAAACCATTGCTGTTAGATTTTTTTGGGGAATTGATACTTGTTTGAACCTCTGCATTTTTCTCTCCGGAGCTCTCGACCCATTTGTCAGGGTCTGTTTGGATCTCTCTAATTTACAGGACAATGTACCCTGCGATTTAAACTTTATTTCATGAGCTCATTAAGAAATGTAATAAGCAAATATGACAAAGAGCAGCTCAATGCCCTTTTACCTCCAGGTTGGAGGTTTGATCTGTACCATTTCCATAAGTTAGTGGATTCTGAGGAAAATGCCAGACAGAAGATGATGGCTGCCAGATTTCCAGGGGATTGTGGCTGCGTAATGTCCCTTCAGCTCTGCCTGGCCACTGGTCCTGCCTACCCGGTGCTCTGGCTTTGACCTAACGGTGCTTTCTCACAGCGTAGGTCAGGCCTTGGTGTGAGCTGGGTTATCCAAAGTCTGTGCAGGAGCAGAGTGAGCAGTCGCACCCAGTTTTCTTCTGTATTTATTTTTAATACCATTTAGAAGACTGTTTTGGAATGGAAGTGTTTTGCATAATCTAGACATGTGGCATGGCATTGTAAAAATGTCAGTTGTGTGTTTATAATACAGCCAGTTAGTTCTTGGAAGGACCCTTTCTGGGTGCTTTCTGCTAATAGTTTTGAGCTCCTCACGCCTGTTGGTTTGGGTGGCTCCCAGGGTTATTATGAGAATAACAGTAGGTTTTCTGTGTATGACAGGGATAGAATTGAGGCAGGCAGAGATGCTGAATGACTTGCCCGTACAGCTGATGAAGCTTCTAAATGAAACTGCTCTCATTAGCACACAGTGGTACAAACCGGTTGATGCCCAGCCAGAGGAAAAAGGCAGTGTTGGGATGGAAGCTGGTTTGCAGGAGAGGACACAGAATAGCTCCGTAAACGTAGTCCAGGGAGTGTGCCTGGAGGTATGAATTTCAGTGCCTTGCTTAAGGGGGGGTGGAGGGAAGGAGCCACCCAACTTCAGCAGCAGCCCGCATTCCTTCTAGTTTATAGAAGATTTTTACTGATCCCTCTCATACTGTTTTCTTCGAATTGGACAAAACGTTCTTCCAGTGCTTCAGAACAAAGGAATGCACCATTGTGTTTTTCTATGTAGAGTAATAATGCAGCTGTTAATTAATGTTTTTATTATTATATTCTGTTTTCCAGCTGCTGCTGCGGAAAGCTCACTCAGGTTACTGTCCAGCGTGGCCCAGGAGGTGAAAGGACGAGGTACTATAAGCTGGATAGACTGCAGGTATGTGTCAGGCTGTTTTTCTACTTTTTTCCCCTCTCCGCTTTTGGCTTTTATTGCTGACTTAGCTTTTTTTGATGGCTTTGAAACTTTTTGCTTGCAGCTGAACCCACATCATTCTGTGCAGTGTCTTCTTAGCTGTAGGGAGCCTACATCTTACCATCTTCTCTTCCTTTGGACCAGCGGTAGGGAATCACTTTTTCCTTGTGGTGGTTGTCATGTCTTCTTTGACAGTATGGTTTTCAGCCTGAAGCTGGAGACCCCATCTAGCATCACCTCTCAATGGGGGGCACGTAGCATGGAAGCTCTGACTCCTCCAGCTTTCCCACAAGCCGGAGGAGGAGGAATCCTGTGTGTTGTGCCTCAGCTGGAGGGCAGTGCAGTTCTGCTCCATCAGCAGATGTTGCACAAGCAGTAGGGCTGTTTGCTTGGTTTTGAAACGTCCACCCGTTTGTGTTTCTAAGTGAAATGGGCTTTGTTTTAAAGAACTTCCTCTGTGCTCGTAGTTCGTGGCAATAGTTGATGTGAAGGCAGGGAAACATGTTTTTGTAAGTGGTTGCTTGTGTGGGGAGGAGTGAACAGGTGTGGACTTTCTAGTTTGCAGATGTGAAAGCCTCCACTGTGGTTCTGCTCGATAACACGTGGCCTGTGGTTTTAGCTTGCGCATCATAGTGCCTCTCTGCCTCTGCAGCTCTGAGGGCTTTGCCTGCAGGTGGCAAATTCCCCTTCCTGCACTGCAGAGGAACAGCTTGCTGCCTACCTGTGTGTTTGGGTGGATTGCCGTGGGATGGACAAACTGTACGCTGTGCAGAAGTCAGCCCTGACAATCATGTGACTCCCTTAAAATTATTCTTCTGAAACCAACCTCCATCCATCAAGCAGTGACCCAGAATAAGTCATTGATAAATCAAAGTTAACATGCATTTTGTTGTTGGTTAACCTGTCTTGCTCTCCCCCTGCCACCAGGCAGGTGTCTCTCCCGTGGAGTCCTCTGCTTCTGCCTTCTGTTTGCATTCTGCTGGGCTTGTCCAAATGCACAGATGTTTTCATCTCTGCAGAGCTGATGGGGAAGAAGTTCCAAGTCATGAAAGCATGGTTGCTCCTCAGAGGTCAGTGAAGCCTGTACCACTTCCCACCTGCTGAAAAGCCAGCAAATAAATTGTATTGACCCTGGCAAGGAGGAGGTTGCGTGGAGATCTGACATACCTCTGAAATCCAGTCTTCTAATGAAAACACTGATAAACCGTTTTTTGTTGTCAGTAATGATGGCTAGCAAGTAGGATACTGGGCCAGCTTCTTGGCTTTAGTTTCTAATCGGCCCCATTTGTGACTGTGGGGTGGTCACTACCTTTTGGTGTCTTCCATTTCTCTTTTGGTTTAGGCTGCCTCTGTGTTGGAGGACTTACTGTTTACCATGTGTGCATGCGTGCACGTGGGACGAGTGTACAGCTGCTGGAATGATGAGGTTATTCATCTGGCCCTGCAAAATGCTGCTGTAACACAACTAAGCAATAACCATCTCCAGGATTTATTTTAGTTCTGGGTCGGAGAAGGAAGGATTTAGGACTTCAGTTTGAAATCCAGGGAAGTTTTGGCACTTAGTTCAATGGGTCGGTCTCTGCTTCTGAGTTTGTAAGTTATGGTGATAGGGAGGGAAATGTGCTGTTTGGTTTTGCTGTAAAATAAACTTCAATTCATCAAACTCTAATATGCGCTCCCTTTCCAAATGCAGTCGTCTAAACCAGGCTTTGCTGTTGGAAGTTACTTACAAGGAAGGTATTTTAAAGTCTCCTCCAGGTAGTGCTTTAATATATTGCATAGGAAGCTTGGTGCTTGCAGTACCTTTCCTCTGACCATGGTGGGGAAATATTTAAGTTAAGCTTCCTATTTGTAATGAAAGGTGAGTGATTTCCGGAGAGTGAAACAGCCTGGTGGAGGTCATGCTGTAAGAAGTTGGGAGACCTGGTAATAGATTTGTAGGTTTCCAAAATTTGCTTCAATGCCAGTAATACCACAATCAGATTGCCACTTGCCGAGTGACAGGCAGTGGACAGGGTGCTGTAACATGGCAATAACTGTAATTCTCCCTTCAAGGGTTGAGCAGCGCTTCCTGGCAGATCATTTGTTTGGGAAGAACCTTGAAAAAATAGATGATCTGTCCAGCTGTAGCTGGGTATTTGTCAAGAGATGTCTCTTCCATCCCTCCCTCTTGCGAAGGGATGTCATAACAGTT